AAAGGAATGCATCTTCCTGGGAGGAAAAGTGGTTCTGGGCTTTCACCTGGACACCAAAGGCAGCACAGATTTGATTACCAGGAAAACATCATCCCACCCCCCAACCCCCCGCCTCCTCCCTGTCACCAGGTGGGAATGAGCAGCTCCTCCCACCCAGAGAACGAGGACAAGGGGCACATGGGCAGCAGGCAGCAAAGGTGACTGCCCCGTGTTAGCACCCCCATCCCAGCAGAATGGTCAGAAGGGAGGGGCTGAAGAGAGGAGGGCTGGATGTCAGCTTCCACAGAAGCCGCAGGGCCAGGATCGGGAAGCGAGGAGGAGTTTAAGGGCTGAGCACCAGGCAAACATGGTCTGAAGAGGGAGAAGGGTAAGGGGTTTTTCCCAGAGCACGTTGGCTGGGAGGAGGGCTCTGCTGCCCCAGCCCCTAGACAGGGCGGCTCTCCAGGTGGGCTGCAGAGTGGGGGTCACTCCAGGGTGCCAGCCCTTGGCAGGTACATGCCTTCGAGCAAACTGCTGCCTTGCTGGGTCTCAACCCCATCCTCTGTCCAGTGGCCTGATGGGGTAACAATGCGTTTCTTATAAGGATTACCTGTTCTTGGGGCCGGCTCTGTGGCACAGTGAGTTAACGCCCTGGCCTGAAGCGCCAGCATCCCATATGGGCGCCGGTTTGAGACCTGGCTACTCCACTTCCGATCCAGCTCTCTGCTATGGCCTGGGAAAGCAGCAGAAGATGGCCCAAGTCCTTGGGCCCCTGCACCTGCGTGGGAGACCGGGAAGAAGCTCCTGGCTCCTGGCTTCGGATCAGCGCAGCTCTGGCCATTACGGCCATTTGGGGAGTGAAGATGGAAGACCTTTCTTTCTCTCTCTCTGCCTCTCCTCTCTCTGTGTAACTCTGACTTTCAAATAAATAAATGAATTTTAAACAAAACAAAACAAAGATTACCTGTTCTTGACCTGGAAGACGCTCGCAAACCCCAAGCTTCACCCGGGCCATGCACTGTGTGAAGGGGGCTGTGGGTCCCCCATGGCTGTCATGCATGGGAAACAGGACACCTACTGGGTACCCACCACCCATCTCCCGGGCTTCTTGGGTTCTCTCACTCAGTCCACCCTTCCCGACAGAACATTTCTCCCCCACTTACAGGAGAGGAAAGTAAAGACTGATGCACTTACCCTTCGTGTCCTTCCACACACACCAGGGAGGCTCCAGTCTAAGGACCAAGGCCCCAGCTCTGAACCAGGCAGACACTGACCCATTCTTGTGGAGCACATATTCCAGTGTGTAGGATGAAGACAGTCAACAAAAACAAAATTTCAGATACTTGTAAATGAAGTAAAGAAAACAAAACAGGGAAATTTGATAGAGTGAACAGGGACAGACAGTGATAGACCTGGAGGGGAGGCAACTGGGCAATGGGCCAAGAAACAGAGACTGCAAACAGAGAACAGCCAGTGCAAAGGCCCTGAGGCATGAACCAGCTTGACTTGCTCAGGGAACAGAAAGGAGGTCAGTGTAACTCGAGAATAATGATGGGTGTGTGGAGGGGGTAAGAAGAGCAGGTCAAGCCCAAACTATGCGGACTATGCCAGGCAACAGCAAGGACTGGGAATTGAGTAGTAAGTGCAATAAGATGGTTTGCAGGCCTTTTTGTTAAAAGATACATTTCTTGGCCGGTGCCGCAGCTCACTAGGCTAATCCTCCACCTTGCGGCGCCGGCACACCGGGTTCTAGTCCCGGTCGGGGCGCCGGATTCTGTCCCGGTTGCCCTTCTTCCAGGCCAGCTCTCTGCTGTGGCCAGGGAGTGCAGTGGAGGATGGCCCAAGTCCTTGGGCCCTGCACCCCATGGGAGACCAGGAGAAGCACCTGGCTCCTGCCATCGGATCAGCGCGGTGCGCCAGCCGCAGCGGCCATTGGAGGGTGAACCAACGGCAAAAGGAAGACCTTCTTCCTCTGTCTCTCTCTCACTGTCCACTCTGCCTGTCAAAAAAAAAAAAAAAAAAAAAGATATATTTCTTTATTTGAAAGAATTACAGAGAGAGAGGGAAAGACAGAGAGAACAAGACCTTCCATCCACTGGCTCACTCCCTAGATGGCCGCAATGGTCAGGGATGGGCCACGCCGAAGGCAAGAGCTTCATCCGGGTCTCCCACATGGGTGGCAGGGATCCACTTGCACCAGCCTCCACGGCTTTTTCCAGGACTGGAAGAGGAACAGCTGGAAGAGGAGCAGCTGGGACACGAACTGGTGTCCATGCGGGATGCCTGCATTGCAGGCGGAGGCTTTACCCACCACACCACCATGCTGGCGTGGTTTGGGGGTCTTTAAGGGAAGAAGTGACACAATCTAACTTAGCTCTTGTGGGAAGAATAGAGGGCGGAGGGCAGAGGCCAGGTGAAGTGAGGCTAGATAAGGAGCTCAGGTTTCACTGCCGTTACAAGTACACGCATCCAATACCAACACTTGGTTCCGTGGCATCACATTTTACGGCTGCAGTGTGATGCCCGTCTGGACTCTCACATCTGACAAAGTGGAGCTCCCCCTGTCTCCAGATGTCAGTTTGGCTCCTGCAGGGGCCATGGGAGGGTAACTGCTGGTGGGTCTAGGATGACCACCGCACAGAATATAACGCAAGCATGCTCTGAGCTCATCTGGTAACCCCCAACAAAGACTGAGTGTGTGCCTGAGCCAGGCACTTAGGAAGCTGTTCTGCACTGCTCAAGTGCACTGCCAGAGTAGATGTTTAATAAAAATGACCCTGGCTGGGAAAAACAAAGGCTGGCTCTCATCCCTTAAGCAGGGAGAGGCTAGCCCGGACACTGGATTCTCTTTTGTGCTTGCTTCTCTTTGCAAACTCTCCATTATGCCAAACATCCTCAAGAAACGCCTCTGAGGAGGGAGAAGAAAGAATGTAAAGGGGAAAACAATTAGGGTTTGGGGGAGGTAGGACATTGCAACCAGAGGAACCTGGGATTGCTCTAAGTTATGGGTGACCCTGGGCAACACCCCTCAGGTGAGATTCCGATTTTTAACCTGTGAAACTAGGGTAAATTCATGTTTTCCCAGAGGTGGGCAGCCCAACAGGAAATTAATATGGATGGCTCTGGGGCAAGGATAAAGCACAAACAGGGACAGGTGACTGGCATAAGACAAGAGTCTTCTTATCAAGAATTCTTGCTTGGGTTGCCTGTATCCCATATCCAAGTGCCTGGTTCAAGTCCCAGCTACTCTGCTCCCAATCCAGTTTCCTGCTAATACACACTCTAGCAGGCAACAAATAACTGTTTAGGGATTTGGGTTCCTACCACCCAAATGTGAGACCCAGACTGAGTTCTGGGCTCCTGGCTTCAGCCCAGCCCAACCCTGGTGGCTGCAGACATTTGGGAGTCAGCCAGCAGATGGAAGATCTCTCCAGCTGTTTCTATATATGCCTTTCAAATAAAATATAAATAAAAACTGCTTCTAAAAGAGAATGCGAAAAAAAATGAAAAAGAAAAAAAGAGAGAAAGCATGATTAATGGGGACCCCTTGTCCTTGCTTCTGGGCAGTGAGCACAGAGCAGAGAACACGCTCAACCATATATAAAGGGCTGGGATTCTCAGGTAACCCAGCTAGCCTCAGGCCCTTCCCCGTAGGGAGAACATCTGGTGCGTGGTTAAGATGCTGCTCGGAACACTCGCTTCCCAAATCACAGTGCCTGGGTCTGAGTCCTGACCCACACTGAGTCCCCTGTCCTGGCTCCTGGCTCTGGCCTGGCCCAGCTCCAACTCTTCTGTACATTTGGGGAGTGAACCAGTGGATCAAAGATCAACTTCTGTGGGTCTGTCTCTGTCTTTCTGCATTCCAAATAAAATGAAAATGAAAAAAAAAATCCTTCCTTCTAGGAAGGGTCAAATCAGGTCCAAGTCATTCCTGCCAAGCTATGAATAGAAATGGCAACCACCCAACCTATGATAAGCAAGGAAGCCAATTTCCATGGTGGCACTCACTAATCCCATTTAGCCACCATGTCCAGAGATGGACCAACATCACAGTGCCTGGTCTTCCACCTCCAGCACCATGCACGGTTCTGGATTTTTTTTCTTTAAAGATTTATTTATTTTGAAAGTTAGAGTTACAGAGAGAGAGAGAGAGAGAGAGAGATTTTCCATCCTTTGGTTCACTCCCCAGATGGCTGCAACAGCCAGAGCTGGGCCAGGCCAAGGCCAGGAGCCAGGAGCTTCTTCTGGTTCTCCCACATGGGTGGCAGGGACCCAGGCAGTTGGGCCATCAATCACTGTTTTCCCAGGCCATTAGCAGGGAGCTGGATCAGAAGTCGAACAGTCAGGGCTAGAAATAGCACCTATATGGGATGCCGGTGTCATAGGCAGCTTTACCTGCTACTCCACAATGCCAGCCCTGGGTTTTGGCTTTAAATTAAAAAACAAACACACAACAACAACAAAAAACCTTGAAAGAAATAGGCAGAGAGACAGACAGAGGGGAGTTCCCATTGCTGGTTCATTCCCCAAATGCTGGCAATGGCTGGCCCAGGGCCGGAGCTGGGAGTTGGCTCCTCAATCCAGCCCTGAATTTCTTCTCCAGATGCCCAGGATGTGCTGTACCTTGGCTATTCTGTTCTGGGAAGAAGACTAACCGAAAAAAAGGAAAACGACAGGTTGGCCAGGCGACACAAGACGGGGATAGATCAGTAGAGACAGGAAGAAGAAACAGCATGAACTCAGCTAGAAGAAGGCAGCCATTCTCTACTACGCAAAAGACTCTAGGTAGCTGGTGATACAAAATGCTGAATGTGGGATCTGTCTAAACAGACTCTCCATCCCCTGTCCTAGGTTGAATACTGTGCCCACCTGGATCCTCGGCCAGCCCATAACCTTACTTGGAAAGCGGTCTTTTCAGATGCAGCAAGTTCAATTACAATAGGGTCACACTGGATTAGGGCGGACCCATTCCCAAAGACTGGTGTCCTTGTAAGACCAGAAAGCAGAGACAAAAACACACAGATGGAGCCACGTGGTGACAGAAGCAGAGGCTACAGCGAGGAAGCCCAGCATTGCCAACCACCACCACCACCACCACTTCAGAAGACAGAGGGAAACATTCTCCGCTCCAGCCTGCAGACAGAGCAGGCTCCGCCAGCACCTTGACCTTGGACTCCCAGCCTCCAGAGGGTAAGGGGATCAATGCTGCAGCTAGCAGCCGGCCAGCCTGTGGTACTTTGTTATGGTAGCCTAGGAAACCAACCCACTCCCAATGCCACACCTGTTCCCAAACCACCCTTCCCATACTTGGCCCCGGGGATGACGACTCAGGCCCACCTGTACTTTTCCACCTTCCCAGAGCCCGCCAGCCCTCCGGTCCCAGAGGGGAAGGCCCCGCAGGGATCACATTTCAGCCGCCCCACACCGGCAGGGGAGTTCTTGTTTTCTCCTCAAGGCCTCCCAGTGATATAGGTTCTCAGAATGGGACTGGCATTCATATCCACCCCATATGGTCCTAATTCTGTATTCCTTACATCACCACTTACCTAATATTTCCTCATACCATCACTACGCTTACTTAGATTTATTTTTAAAGCACTGCTACTTCATTGTTCCAATAAATGGTTAGTCAGCATCACTTATCACACGCAGACCTTTCTGTATATATCCATACCTTTAACGTGCTCACCAAAACGAATCCACAATACTTTTTAGAGAAACCACTTAAAATAGTCTTGGCCGGCAATACCACGGGAAATATCGCCTTCGAGGTGAGCTGTCCGCGGGCTCCTACTCAGAAATCCCAATCCAGCTCTCCGATTCTTAATATCACCTCGCACGCCCATCCCCGGGCCCCAGACACTCCGGAGAAGGTAAGAGTCCCGCGTTCCTGAGAATGGAGATCCGAGGGGACTTTAAACCGCGGGTGAGCCGCGCAGAGACGCGAGCGAGGAACTGACCTTCTCTCGAAGGCTGCAGTGGACGTCCGCGGCGACGCGCCCTTCCCACCACGGCTCATCCATCCCCGCGAGCAGCTCTGCGATCCGCGGCTACCGGGCCCTCGGAGCGCTCCCTGCGTGGACACGGGCAACTTCAGCGGCTCCGACGCCCACAGTCCCTATATCCTCGCCGGTCCCCGGCACGGCCCGGACGGGCGCCCCCTCCTGCCCCGCTCCGCGCCCCGGAAAGGTTGCGGTGCCCCCTCCCTTCTGCTCGCTGGACCCCCGATAGATCAAGAGCTGTGCAACAACTTGCAGAATTTTTATCTTCCCTGTGCAAAAGTTGCAGAGAAAGTTGCCTCCTCCGCCCGAAGCTGGGGCTCCTGCGGCGGCCACCCGCTTGCCCGTCCCGAACTCCTCCCCCGCCGCCCAGCCTTTGTCCTGCTCCCACATCCTGCCCTCCAGCCCGGGGCGAGACTCACGCATCCCTCTTCAGGCGTGGGGGGCTGCGGGCACCCAGCCCCTTCCGGGGCTGAGCCGGCTGTGCCCTCTGGCTTGGCTGCACGCGGCTGGACCCCGACCCAGCCCGCTCCGCGCTCTCGCCGGCCGCCTCCACAGCCCGGCTGGCCCCAGCCGCCGCGCCCCTGCGTGCGCTCGGGTCCCGCCGCGGCTCGCAGGATCCCGGCCGCCGGGGGCCTCCCTCCCTCGCTGGGGGAATTGGGGGCCGGGCCTCGCGCATGCGCCAGCAGCGCCCCGCGCCCCGCAGGGCGGGGGGCTGGGACTCCGAGTCTTTCTTTCCGCGGCTCTGGCCGGGCTTCCTGTCCGCCCTCCGCCGTCGCCTCCGCGGAAAGCTTTCTCTCACCTTCGCGGAGACTCGCCGGTTTAGCCGGGAATGGCCGGGGCCCCGCGGGGGGGGGGGCAGGGCACGGCTCCACCTGCGCGCACCGCGCGTGAACCACGCGGGAAGGATGCCCCCCAGAAAGTTCTGCCTCGCGCGCGCACCGCTCCAGCCCACGCTTACATTCCACCTGCTTTGCTTTCTTTCTTTCTAGGCTTGTTCTGCCGTGGGAGATGGGATTCCAAAAGGACCGTTCCCACGAATGCTCCAGAAAAGCCCTGATGGTAAAGGCGCAGAAGTCAGGGGTAGTAGTTGTGCCCCCTGGGAAGTATCGACCCACGCCTTACAGTGGAGGAAAACCCACCAACACCAGGAATGAAAAGCATTGTCTTTTTAATTTGGTTGTTTTCCGAAAGGCGCTTTCTTGAAGCACCCTGCTGAGCGCGCGGCAGGGAGCTCTCCTGGTGTTTGGGATATTTTTGGAGATTCACTAGCTTGGGATCGAACCCCACCATCACCAGCAGCAGCTGGGTGATTTTTGCCAATCAGAGCCTGGGACCCCTGCGTGTAAACTGGGCATAAAAGTTGCCACAAGCTGCTGGAGATGTTTTATTAAATGATTTAATGCATGTAAAGGGGCAGTCACCATCCTGGGTTTAACCGAAAAACAACCGTTGCCGAACGAAGAGCCTTGATTATCTGACCGATTTCCTCCCACGTGAAGATCCATTTGGAAAAATTTTAAAGTTCACTATGATAAACTTTGAGCCTCGAAAAGAAGTTTTAATGTAAAAAACAAATGCTGGAAAATCATGTAAAATACTTAGAAATAAACAATAAATGTTCAGGCTCTTAATGAAGAGATTGTAAAGATTGTAACATAGTAAGTCTTGAAGAAATAGCAGGAAGTAAAAAATGCCTTTACCTATATTATTATAATTCCAAAGGTTGTGGGTAACATTTTTTTCATGTTAAAAATTATGCAATGTCTATGAGAAAAGCTAAGAAATTTTTATTTTAAAAATTGGTTAGACTTCTATTATAAATTTTAAAGCAAACAGCAAAGCTATAATTAAAATGGGTATTGACAGAGAACTGATGAAGTTATCAGCTGAATAATCCAAAGTCTAGAAACATTTGATATAATTAATTCACTGTAAGATAAAGACATTTCATTTTGGTTGGGGGAAGAATAAACTGATAAACTAAGTTGAAATTAATTTTGGGGAAAAAGTAAAACAGAATTTATTTAAACCATCATCAAAATAGATGTAGGAGAAGTAGAAGAAAACATAGGTGAGAGGAGGAAGGCCTAGCTGTTAAAGCAAAGGAAGATACCAAAAGAAAGGATGAATTAGTAACTTTGAATAAATATGCAAAACATATACATTAAATGCCCTCACCAAAAAGGCAAATGACAAGTGAGGAAAGATGGTTTTAACAAACATGACAACAGGTTGGTCTTCCTATATAAGCCACTTAAAAGTCCCTAAGTCAAACACTGATGCCATGCACGTGGAAATGAAAAAGGACACGAACAGACTTGCCACCTAAGAAGAAATTGGTGTGTGTAATGTCATTTTTTATATGCCTACATTCACAAGCAAACACATTAACTTTTTCTTCTTATAGCAGGAGCGTATATCTTTGTCAAAGATGTTATAAAACTTAATACACAGGTTGTCAAACAGTGTTGTTGGAAATATAATTTTATGTTTGTGAAAGACAACATAAATCAAAAAGTTGAAAAATGTGTTATCTGATCCAACTATTCTCCCTTTGGGGATTTAGTCTAAAATATAGGAGTTGGTAACAGCAGACACTGATTTGCAAGGGGTTTCATCAACGTGTGTGTGTGTGTGTGTGTGTGTGTGGTGAAGTATTACATCAGGGGACTGATAAATAATGATTTGTCTCAAATATTTTCAAAAAGAATGCTAATATGTTGGGAAAGTGTTCACAATATATTTAAAGATGAGAAGAGCCACTGTGTGGCATAGTAACTTAAGCCACCATCTGCAATGCCAGCATTCCACATGAGAGTGGGTTCGAGTCCCAGCTGCTCCACTTCCCATCCATCTCCCTGCTAATGTCCCTGGGAAAGCAGTGGAGGATGGTCCGAGCACTTGAGCCCCTGCCACTAACATGAGAGACCCATATGAAGCTCCTGGCTTGGGCCAAGAGAACATCTCTCTCTCCCTCTGTAACTTCTGCCTTTCAAATAAATAAAAAATAAAATCATTTACAAAATGAAAATGAGAGATTAGAGTATGATCCCAATTATACTATATTCACACTCATACAGATTCCCACACAGGTGAAAGAAATAGAAAAACATCCATGAAAGTAACTGTATAATCAGAGTGTTAGGATTATGAGAAACTTTTCCTTTTTTGCTGGTGTATTTTCTAAATTTTCCACAAGATACATGGATTACTTTTGTAACTTAGAAAAAAAGAGACTGTTACTTTAAAATAATCTCATGGTCTATTTACCCGAAGGGCCCTCCATTGACCAACAACCTGCACTGCTACTGCTTCGCTTTACTTTCTTTTTCATAGCAGTCATTTCTGTCTTTGTTGGGGCCACTGAAAAAAGAAAGGCCTTTGTTATTCTCTAGCCTGTGGACAGACCCCTCCCCTCAACTTCAGCTACCAGGAGTTATCAGTTATCAGCAGTTCTGATAACAGACAGGGAAGCTTTTCTCCAGGGTCCCTGTTAAGAGGATTCTAAACACACTCATTCCATTCTCCTTTGTGTACCGTTCTCAGGAGTCCCTCATTTCCCCAGTATCTCTGAAGAGTAACACCACATTGCACCAATAAACTGATGGTTTTGGCGGTGAGTCACAGCCCACCCTTTAGCTTCCTGTGCTGGACAGCAGGGGAGCAATGCCATCAGAGTTACTACCCCCACCCGCTGCATCAGCCAAGCCAAGTAGTAGTCACTCATTCAGAAACTACACTTTTATTAAGTGCCTACCATGAGTCAGTGACCATCCTTGTGTGGCTTTAAGTCTCAGCTCTGCTCCAGATTCTAGCTTCTTGCTAATGTACACCCTGGGAGGCAGCGGACATGATTCAAGTAATTCGGTCCCTGCCACCCACGTCGGAGACCCAGCCTGGTCCAGACCCAAAGGTTGCAGGTATTTGAAGTGAATGGGAAGATCTGTTTCTCTTTCTCTCTCTCTCCCTCTTTTATTCGGTTCCTCTGCCTTTCAAATATATGAATTAAATTTTAAAAAATAAAAGCCAAAGTTTGGAGTGTGAGAATATTTCTAGCAAAGGCAGTGGTCTGAACAAAAATAGCTGGGAAACCACAATATCTTTTTTATTTTTAAAGATTTTTTTTTTTTACAAACCCTTGTGTCGAGGGCTTTCAATAGATGGCAGCGAGGGAGCTGCTCTGCTACATACGAAACCCCAACCCAGAAGCAGGTCATCTACAGATGGTTTAGCGCCAGGTTCCCCGCGAACGAGCAGTGCGTGACGGGCGAGAGGGTGGCCCCCTTTCTGGCCACACCCCGTAAAGATTTATTTATTTATTTGGAAAGCAGAGTTACAGGGAGGTGGAGAGCAGCTCTCTTCTACCGCTTTCCCAGGCAATAGCAGAGAGCTGAATCAGATGTAGAGCAGCTGAGACTCGAACCGGCACCCTTATGGGATGTGGCACTGTAGGCGACTGCTTTACCCACTACACCACAGCACCAGCCCACACAATATCTTTTTAAAAAGATTTATTTATTTGAAAGGCAGAACAAGAGAGAGAAAAGGAGAGACAGAGACTTCCCATCCTCTGGTTAATTCCCCAAATGGCTGCACAGCCAGGGCTGGGCCAGGCCAAAGTTGGAGGCCAAGAACTCCAACTGGATCTCCCATGTGGGCGGCAGGGCCCTAGCACTTGGGCGACCATCTTCTGCCTTCCCAGGTGCACATGTGACGTTTTGTCATTTTAGAAGAACAGTAGCACACTGTACACATCCTTCCACATTTCATTTTCTCCACTTGGTTGTTCCCTGGATCGCTCACAGAGCTGCAATGTCTCCCACAGTCTTGTAGTGTGGATCCACCAGGGTGTATGTGACCAGTCTCCTTGGGCTGGATGCAGAGGCTCTGTCCAGTGACTATGATAAACAGGTGCCTGCCTCAGTAAGATCATTTCCTGCAATCCTCAGCTTTTCAAAGGAAGTTGAGGCACATACTTTGTAGCGTTTCCTCAGGGTCCCAATGGTTTGCATTGCTCTATTAGTACCAAAAATGGGAAGAGTGGCTCGACTCAGAGAGACAGAAGGAACATTTCTGCCTTATCACTTTGCTCTTTAACCAAAAACCAAGCCAACTAGCTGTGTGATCTACACAGTCAAGACAGCATTTGCCAAATCCTTCATGATTCTTGCCTAGAAATATTTTTTAAAGGTCTATTTATGTATTTATTTGAAAGTCAGAGTTACACAGAGAGAGACAGAGAGGTAGAGAGAGAGAGAAATCTTCCATCCGATGGTTCACTCTCCAGCTGGCTGCAACGGCCGGAGCTGCGCCAATCTGAAGCCAAGAGCCAGGAGCTTCTTCTGGGTCTCCTACGCAGGTGCAGGGGCCCAAGGATTTGGGTCATCTTCTACTGCTTTCCCAGGCCATAGCAGACAGCTGGATCAGAAGTGGAGCAGCCAGGACTTATACCGGTGCCCATATGGGATGCCAGAGCTTCAGGCCAGGGTGTTAACCTGCTGTGTCACAGCACCGGCCTCTAGAAAAATTTTTTTAAAAAATACTTTTTGTTTGAATGGTAGAGTTACAGAGAGAGAGGAATATGGGGGGCTGGGGGGCTAGAGAGAGAGAGAGAGAGAGAGAGAATCTTCCATGTGCTAGTCCGCCAGGGTTTGGTCAGGTTGAAGTCAGGAGTCTGGAACTCCATCTGGTTCCCAAGCACTTGGGCCATTTTCCACTGCTTTTCCAGGCACATTAACAGATGTCTGGATCAGAAGTAGAGCAGGAGCCGATGCTGTGACAGTAAATCAAGCCTCTGCCTTTGGTGTGTGCATCCCACATGGGCGCTGGTTCAAGTCCTGGCTGCTCCACTTCCAATCCAGTTCTCTGCTATGGAATGGGGAAGCAGTGGAGGATGACCCATGTCCTTGGGCCCCTGCACCCATGTAGAAGGCCTGGAAGAAGACCCTGGCTTCTGGCTTCAGATCAGCCAAGCTCTTCTGTTGCCGTCATTTGGGCGAGTGAACCAGTGGATGGAAGACCTGTCTCTCTGTTTCTCCCTCTCTCTGTAACTCTTTCAAATAAATAAGTAAATCTTAAAATTGAACAATTCTTTAAAAAATTTCAATGATTCCACGTGCCAGTTAAATGTTCTATTTTGCATTTAAAACCAGGTGGGCATTTGGTACAGCAGCTAATACACATCTAGGGATGTTTGCATCCCATATTCGAGTGCATAGGTTTGAATACTGACTTTCTGATCTAGCATTCTTGCTCATGGGTACCCTGGCCCAGCCCTGGCCATTGCAGCTGTTTGGGAAGTGAACAGCAGATAGAAGATACCTCTCTGTCTCTCCATCTTTCTCTGTAACTCTTTCAAATAAATAAATTTTAAATTTGTAAAAAAAAAAAAACCCTTTTTATTATTTGTTGCATTATTACAGTCCTTTTTAGTGTATTCATTAATAACTATGAGAACATCTACCACTGGTAGAGTGCTTGGCTTATGCCCCGCAGTGAGCCAGTTGTCTAAGCAACCACAGAGAGCAGGCATCCTGAAGAGTTACACTCTCCATTCAACCTCACACGGTCTAGGCACCTTGAAAACAAAGGCCTTAAAGGGAATGCCAGGCCAGACAGCAAGTTGTGTGACCCTAGACAAGCCACTTGGGCTCTTCAGAGCCCACTGGCCTTATTAGTCAAATGAAGGATCTACCGTCCTTAAAGAATTCTTGGGACAAGGAGACAAAGAAACACGAGTGGAAGGGTACCTCCTTTGCTCTGCACTATGACTTGGCATTCTTAATTCTAACCAAACATGCTAGCACCTCCCTATGACATTGCATTCCCTGTGGGACTTGAGCGAGCATTCACATGGGCTTCGCTTTCACCTTCTGTGACAGGAGCCAGTAGAAATAGATCCCCGAGGGTCCTAACTCAGAGGGAGAAGAAGGTCAGAAGACAAGCAAGGTGAGAGGAGCTTGCTGGAGGAAACGTCGCACGGCCCTCCTGGTCTGACTCCTACCCCTGCCCACCTTTGAAAGAGACAGGTGTCCGATGTTTAACCTGGCAGCCCAGGTACCTTGTCAGTTGGAGTTCTGGCTCCAGCACCTGACTGCTGCGGGCTCTGGGAGGCGGCAGTGACGAATCACAAACTAAGTTCCTGTCACCCACGTGGGAGACCTGGATTTGCATGCTAGGTGCTCAGGTTCAGTCCTTGCCCAGATACAGCTATTACGGGCATTCGGGGAATGAACCAACGAACAGGAGTTCTCAGTCTCTCAATTTTTTTTTTCTTAAAAGAGAGAAAGAAAAGAAAAACAAAGAGCCATGTGGATAGAGATGGATTTCTCTTCATGGGGAAAACAGCATGAGTTTGATGGCCAGTGGCAAAAGCAGGATAGAGTGGGGGGCTCTGGGGGAAGCCAGGGTGTTGGGGCCACATCCAAAGTGAGGTCCGCTCTGTGTCCCTCAGTTTGTTCCAATTTGGGGCCCCTATTTCTAGATAGTTAGACTTTTCAAAGAAAGAAGAAATTGAAGTATCTTCTGATTTTAAAATGAATTGATTTTTTTTAAGCCCCATGCAGGCCACACATAGCATCAGCTCTCATTTGGGGACCCTGGCACAGGTGTGCCTCAGAGCCTTCCAGTCTGACTAGGATTGCGGGAGGCACAATGGAACAAGACCCGAGACCGCCCCAGACTCAGGGAGGAGGAAATGAGAGGAACCATTCACTTCAAAGCTGCCGAGCCTGCCAGACCTCCCCTCCTCAGACAGACAATGAGCAGGAAGGAGACTGAGCCCGGACAGTAAACAGTGACCCGACAAGCCCGCCCTGGCCAGGGCGACCCTCCAGCCGAGCAGGTCTGAACTCCCAGCAGCAGGCCACTGCTTTCTTTGGGCCACCAGATGCCACGCTATGAGGGGCTTCCAAAACTTCCCGGAGTGCAGAGACCCAATGACAGCTACTGCTCGGTGGAGGAGA